CACACACACACACAGACACACACACACACACACAGACATGATGGTTTAAAGTGATAAAGCAAGCATAAAGATCTGTATTCTCTCTTAGTGCCCCCTTTCCCTTACAATAAACCCTTGAGCACCTGTAAAAAGGGAGATGGTGTCTTGAGGCAAATAGGCTTCTCTATCTCCTTAGAGGTAGCTTTAAATAAATCCTTTTTACCCAAATATATGCCCTCCTTTGGTTTGGTCAGTGCCAAGCAGACAAACTTGAGCCTATGAGCCCAAGAGGCTGGTAACAGTTTGCATGACCACAAAGGGACTTTAGTACCTGCTCCTGAGGGCTATCCATCCTGGCAATCACTTGGGAAAAGGGACTGCCTGCTCATGGCTAGCTGAACCTACTGTTGGAACTCCAGGGACATTTTAGCAGCTGCCAGGGACATCTTTGAATACTGAAAACACTCCCTTTTTTCTCATGTGCTGCATCAGCTGCCTATAAATGATTTGTTGGTTAAAGGAAAAAGGTTTGGGGAGCTTTGATCTGGTAAATTTACAAGTTCCAAATTCCATCTGATTTGGAGGTGATGGGCTCTGCCTGTTTCCCAACTGGAACGCACACTCCAAGGATCTTTCTCTACAATTTGGACCTCTCTTAGGTCATTTAGCCATGCCATTTGGGTGAGGTAAGGACCTTCACTACTTGGGACCATTCAGACCATTGCAGGTCATTTTGATGTGAGAAAAGATTGATGTGAGAAGAGATTCAGAAGTTTAAAAAAATGCTAGACTTTTTTTTTTGGTTTAGAATATTCCTTTGTTTTGGTCTGGTTTAATATGCTTTTATTTATTTTATCTTTCTCTTGTTAACAACTACCTTTATTCTAGGGTGGTAAGGGTTTCTCATTCAGTGCCATCTAAAATTATATAAGCCACTGGGGCTTCAAGTCATTCTGAGGCTTCTTTGTGAGCCAATATAAAGTTTAAGGTTCTTGAACCATTTGTTGACCAAGAAAAATGTTAACAAGATTTTAAAAACTGCCTGTATTTTTTTAAAAGCTCTATTATAAATTGCTCAAAAATGAAAGTGTTTGTGCTACTTTGCAGCTTCATAATAAAGTTTTAGTTACCTGTAACTTAAAAGGGGTGATCTTATTGTGATACATGGTGGCGTATATAACTGAAAGTATACTCTGATTTCATAGGACTATCATTAAAAAGATTCATTAAAATAAGATTGGCTAAGACACAGGTGTTTTGCCTTTTTGTTTTTCTATGTGAGGAATATTGTTTCTAAACTGGTTTACTTTTCATATTAGATAACATATAAATTTTTGACTATATCTAAATTTAGCACATAAAAATGTCTTAAGTAGCTAAGATCTATAATAAATTAAAGCAATGAATAAAAGCTTCAAAAATTCAAATTCAATTTAGCTAGGCAAGCACTTTCCTTTGAGACATACATTTCCAACATGGTTACAACATTAATCCTACCTTCAGATATGCAAATTTAAGAGTAAGTATTGCTTAAGACTATTAAAAAACATGCCAATGATATAACTTTTTCAAAGCTGATAACTTATAACTTTACATCTTTGTTCTATGTGTGTTGGCATAAATGTATATACTATGTCATGCCTATATGTATACTTTTATTTATACATTATTTAGTGGTACCAAATAATTTTTTAAAAATGTGCTCAAATACTAAAAAGGAAAACCTCAAATCTTTTTGTTCACATGTGTAGGAGGCTTCCCTGTGCAGTACTAACTGGTTATGAGTGGCACATGCTTCTTGCCTTCCTTAATTTGGCTGTATTTTTTTATAGCAGGAGTCAGACCAAACCCCTGCATGACTCAAATGGGCTCGTATTGCTCCTTTGCTAATGGCTGTCTCTGAGGCCTAGGTCCTGGTCAGTGAGGTGGCAGGGTCCTGCTAAGTTACATGCAGCTGAGGTCAGCATGGCCCCAATTAAAACCCTTTCCCCTGAATTATTGTTTCTCACCGACCTTTTGGGTTACTTGCTAACTGCACCTGGTCCCAGAACCAGTTTCTTCTATCCTAGCAAGATCAGCAGTGCCGACTCCCTGATAGCCTTGCTTGGCCAGGTGTTCGGCAGTACTTCACTAGATAACTTCAAAGCTCCCTAGCTCCCTATTCCCTCTCACGATTGTATTCAATAAATACTGGGGGCTTTTGTCTTTGCTGCCATCAGCAGCACTGACCAGGACCCAAGACTCGGCTTCACTGTAAGTCTGGTTCAGTCTATTCTTTAACCTTCCTCAGGTGCTGTAGTGGCTCACAGGAGGCTGGGACCTATTGCAGGGGTCTCCAGGGATGTCCGCTTCCCCTGACCCTTACACACATGACTTTTAAAAAATGTTTTTAAAAGGCCAGGCATGGTGGTACATGCCTTTAATCTCAGCACGTGGGAGTTTGAGGCAGAAGGACTGCCAAGAGTTCAAGGCCAGCCTGGTATACATAGTGTGATCTTGTCTCAAACAAACAAACAAAAGGCTGATTCAGGAGGATCGCTTTGAGTTCAGTGCTAGCCTGAACTACATAGCAAGACCCTGCCTCAAAAAAAATGTTTTAAAAGATATTATAGGGGCTGGTAATTTAGCTCAGTGGTGCCACATCTGATTCATAAGCTCAAAGTCCTGAGTTCAATACCCTGTACTGAAAGAAAAAGAAAGATATTACAAAGGTGTCCTCAGCTGCTAACAAATTTTCTCTGCATTAGCCAACCAAACTTATATTTGAGGTGCTTTAACTTTAGAAAAAAATTCAGTTTCATAAAAGTTTTAAAAATTAATTGTTGGGCATAATGGCACATGTCTGTAATCTCAGCACTCAGGAAGCTGAGGCAGGGGGATTGCTATGAGGTCGAGGCTACCTTGAGATACATAGCCAGCCTGAATTATGAATTGAAACCTTGTCCCCCCAAAAAATTAAAGAGCATGAAAAATATAATTAAAATTGTTGAGTTTGCTAGGATTTTCATGCCCAAGGACATGACATCGCCTGGCCATCGCTATCCCCCAGCTTGGCCAGGGTCACACCCAGTGGGAAACTGCCACCCACAGAAAAAGCCATGACAGACAAACTTGGCACCTGTGGGAAAGGCCATTGAGTCCCAGCCCTTGGTTCCAGGAAACATCTGGTTTCTCTCTGCATCTCTGCTACAAGGATCTTAAAGAGACGTTTTTTGTTTTGGTTTGGTTTGGTTTTTTGGGGGGTACCAGGGATCAAACTTGGGACCTTGCCTTGTGAAGCAGGCAGCAGAACCACTGAGCTAAATCCCTGGCCCTACAAGGATCTTAAAGACTCTCAAAAATCAGAATTGGTTAAACACTGAAATAATATGAATATACCAATGGCTGGATATTTCTTTATTTTAAAGTTTAAATATTTAGCTTCTCAAACAATTATATATAGTAATAGTCAATATAAAGGCTACTTCTAAATTCATACCAGGGGTCCTATATTTTGCTAGACATCAGCTTAAAAACTAGAGATTATAGTAAAATATAACAATATCTTGTTAGACATTAGTTTAAAAAGTTAAAGTTTATAGCAAAAATGGCCTTTCAATCCCTGATAACAAAATGAAAATCATGCTTTTAATAAATAGCAAGTAAAGGCCCATGCCTACCTATTTCTCATCTCTATAGTGGTCTGCATGCCATGACTATATTAATTTCAAGGTTAGCTAGTTCCAAAATGTTCTCAAGACTGCTTTCTTAACCAAGAATG